AGATCATTTATTTTGATCAAATTTGCACTTGACATGTTGGGTACAATAATAGACTCATGTTGCACATTATTGGCAAATAGTATTTTCCATCCAACAATGTAATAGTAACTAATAAAAGAATCAGGTTGTTAACAAAAAATTATTTAAATGAGCATTTTAAAACTTTTTAAAAATAAGGGACAAAAGTGAAACCAAAAATTAAGTCAAAGGACTAAATATATGTTTTAGCCCATAATAAATCAACCATATTTAAGGTAATAAGTATGTTATGTAATGCTTTTTTATATTCTAGTGCAATCATGCATGTGGAACCATCTCAAAATCTCATCTCAAAGATTGTAGCCTAGGAGTACCCAAACACTAATTCCCAACACCAAATACTTTTAACTAAAAGGAATATCTACCAATGACTTGTTAGGGTTACAAAGTTGCACTAGGTTCATCCATTAAGGTTCCCAAACTAAGTTGACTCTCAAGGTTAGGATTCCACACTAGTACCTCAAAACTCAATATTATGCATATGATGAATGTCCACAAGAAATATGTCTCATACAATTTTCAATATCTCAATTTTCAATGCTCAAGTTCAAATGTTCTCATGATGGATCTCATTCCTCTATAATGGTTCTTCTTATGGTGAACCTCAAGTGCTCCAGGTTTTCAATAACTTAATATTCTCATGTTTGTTGTTCAATTATATACATTAAATCTCATTATTGTTGTCAAATTTTTGCTCAACAAAATAGGCTCACTCAGTTAATTTTCCTTTTTGTTCCTTAGTTTTGCTCAACCATAAGATCTCGCTTAGCTAATTTTCCTTTCTATTTTTAGTTTTGCCTAGACTAAAGGTTGTGCTCAACTAAATTTCCTCGTTGTTCTTCAATTTCACTCAACCAAATGGTTTTGCTCAATGAAACCTCAATTATAGCAATATCATGATTTTCAAGGTTCTATGGTGCTTTTAACGTTTCTAAGGTCTCAAAAAATCACTAATCCAATTCCTAAGGGGTCTCGTATGGTTCTATAATTCCAATATAGTAGTTAACATGGAATTAAACATGAATTTAACCACATATCATAATTTTCTAGATTATCATCAACTTAATCAATTATTCTAAGTATTCCTAAATCCCTAATTTCAGGAACAACAAAGAACAAGAAATATAGCATAAGAAACATTCAAAAATGTATATAATCATAGTGAAATAAACAAAGTAAAACACAAAAAAGAGGTTGAATTTTGTATTTAATTTTTTTCTCTAAATGTTTTCAACCATGTTTGTTAAGTGTGTTAGTTAATAAATGAAAGAACAAATGAGTAATGTAAAGAGAAAGTGATGGAGGACCATCATATAGGAGAGTACACACATGAAGACCATTGGGCCTTTAACTAGGTTCATGGTTAGGAGGCTAGAAGAGACTTCTACAGAGGAGATGCTTCTTAGACCTATGCTTTTCATGAGCATTGTGTATGATTCTTCTTATTAGTCTCTTAGTTTCCATTGTAAATACCTTGTATAGTACTTGTACATAGTAGATACTTGTATAGGTGTATTTTTGCCTTTGTATTTGTGAGACATCTTCTTCTTTCTTTTTAGGTCATACCCTTAGGATTCTAGGATATGTTACTTGGAGACTTTTGCTCCATTTGACCTTGTATCAAGGATCATTGATTTTCATATTTTTAGTTTTAGTAGTGGGGTGGCAAATAGCAAGTGTGTAGATGAAGCTAGCAATTGAGCCCTTAGTGGGCCTATGCTAATTTTTACATATTAGGTTTGTTTTGCTCCATTTAATCCAAGGAATTGATTTAGCTAGGTTTCACCTTCATGTGGTGTACCTAACTAAACCAATTCCAATATTTTGGATTGGATTAAGTGAAGGAAAACAAGCAAGGCTCCTAGCTTTCTTACTTGGCCAAGTTTTACAAAGCTTCTCGAACACACTTGCTTCTAGTTAGCCTATGAGATAAGGTGACACATGACATCCCTTGATTGGCTCTTCTAGATATAAGTTTCTCCTCCTTGTTTCCTCTAGAAACAAGGTGACACTTGGTAAGCTAGGATTGACCAATCTAGATCTAATGTCTCTACCTTGTCCCCTCTAACTTGCTCTACAAGCTACTCCACCACTAAATATGTTTTATACATTCAATTGTTGTGTTAGAAATGTAATTTGTATTATGTATTATCACTTAGGATCTGTTGGAGTAAATTTCTTTAGAAATACTTTAAAGAAAGAAAATTAAGAAGAAAAAACAAATTAAACTTCTTCATAAGTTAACTGGAAAATTTTTTCTCATATTAACTTCTCCAAAATTTTATTTTTAACTTATGCATAAATTAGTTTTAACTTGAAAAAAGCTATTTCAACTTTTCATCTTTTCTTCATTTTTATTTTTTAGAAGTGTTTTTGGAGAAGATTATCTAAATAGACCTCTAGATAATTAGTATTTAAAAGATAATTTTACGAGTTTTGAGAAATCTAAAATTAAATTAATTTAATTTATTTATTTAAATGAACCACCACGATTCCTTTTCATATTTTTAATGATTTTTCTCGATATTTAAATTTAGATCAATTTCTAGATTTCTCATTGATCAACGGTGTTTCTCTTTGGTTGTTTCTTTGGTAATTATTTTCTTTGTTGTATAAAAACGTTATTTTGATCTTAAAAATCTGATTCTGACACAAAAACAATTGTTAGACGTGAATATTATATTATTGAACTTCTTCTCCAAATTATATGGGTCGCAGTTAGTTTATTCTAAAGTTTGGAGTGTTACACGAAATTTTTTTGAGAAAGGGTAAGTTAAATTTGAAATGAAAAGATGAAGGTAGAAGATATTAAAGTAAAACGAAAAGGATTTACGGTGTGTAAAGTAATTTAATTAATAAAAATAATATTATATTACAAGTAGTTAATCTCACTTAGTAATAAAATATTATGTCCCTTAAAATTTTAAATTTAAATCATATTATCCTGATTGTAATTCATATATTAAAAAAATCTCATCATTTAATTTTGAATAATATATTTATTGGTCAATGCCTAATTGATCATAGTAAACCGTATAACATAGTTGACCACATAGAATTCATCTTAAATTATTAGGTTCAAGAATCAATCAATGCAATGAACATCAGCATTAGACAGGCTATCATCCCCTATAACAATCACAGTCCACATTCCCTATGGACTCCGTGACCAATGTTCATTATTTACAAATTTTCACACACTGATTAACTAATCTTAAACGTACATTTCTTTTTCTGTTACATTGATAGAACTATAGAAACAAGGTAAATATATAGAGAAAAACAAAAGAAGGGAGAATAAATAATATCATAAGATAATGAGGGGAAAAAAAAAAAGAGAAGAGAATATAAATGTATATAGTATTTTTTTTCCATGATATTGATTTAGCATTATTATCCAAACAGTGACAAAGTTGGCTTCAATGGAGAGGACCCCAGAGTGCAGTGTTCACTACGTCTGTATTTTCTGATTTTGGTGTGCGATGCTAATGACATGACCCGTTTTGTCTGCACCACCCGTTGACCAGAGTGCCATGCTTCACTCGGTTTCGACGTCAAACACCATGTTCTTTTACACCAACTTTTTGATAAATTATTATTCGCAATTTTATGTGTTCTATTCTATCCGTAAGTACACGCCAATGATAAATAAATTATATTTCTAAATGCTAAAATCGTTTAATACAAGTTATAGAGGTCCCATGATTAAGAAAAATTATACTTCTAAGTAAAAATAAGGATTTGAATAGCTTTTTCTTTTGTTACAAAATCATACATATTTTCACTTGTGAAAATTAAGACCTAAACCGTAATTTTTCTTTTTTTTACAGAAAAAAGTACTCGAGGGAAAAAACCCCATGCTTCAAATTTACAGAACCTAGAGTGTATGATGTGAAAATTATATTCGATTATAATTAAAATGAAAATTTGTGTAGATAAATTTACTATAAACTAATTTTAAGATACTTATTTTTGTTTGGATACATATATTAAATTTCAAAATAATATATAAAAATAAAATTGTAAATAACTATATTTGTTTCATATATTAAAACTTATAATAATATATATAAATAAGTATTATATTTGAATATATAAATTATAATATTATATTTAATTTTTAATAAATAAATATTTTAAATATATGATAAATAACTTATATTATAATACAAATTATTATTTATTATCGATATTTTGTGTTAAAAATAATTTAACTTGATATAAATGAGAAAATGATAGATTAAACTATGTAGTAAGAGGGTAAAAAGTTCATGTAATTAAAGAAATATTCTTGTGTAGGATAATTTTTCTCATTTATATATAGAGAGAGTGATAAGGTGATATAGATATTTATTTATTTTATATAATTTTAATTTATAACAAATAATTATTTTAAATATTTAAATTACATTTTGAATTAATAAATAATATAAATTATATTAGAAAATTGTTTTTAATTAATAATAAATTACAGTCTAATTAGTGAAATATTTGATAACACAAATAATTGAAGTATAAATTTTTCTTATAGAGTAGTGGATTAATCAGGAAAAAAAAATACTGAGAGTCAAGAGGGAAGGAGATTAGAGATAAAGTTAAGAGCGCCCCAACATTTTTCATCCTTCCCGATTTGGACCGAAAATGGTAGAAAAATTATTTTGCGCGTTGAAGTCTTGAAGATACTGATTTATTGTTAATTTTTTTTATTGAAAATATTTATTTTATTATATTTTTTTTATGAACATATTCACAGGGTATTTGAATCTTGGTTGAAACAATTTAAAAGTTATTTATTTATTTATTATTTTTCTTCTCGTATTTAATTTTATTGGAACAAAGGTGTGATAAAAGTTACAGCAACTACAACTAGAGGGTTGAAAGACATGGGACATTAAGAAGTGAGAAGTCAAAGTTGGAAGATAGTACATAGTTCATAAATGGTGAATTAAATGTTGGATAGATATTAGTAATTGAAACAAGTAATCTAGAGACTATATATGGTTCATACTAGATAGTTCATAGTTTACCTTCAAATGATCAATCCTCACCTACCAACTTCCATGCCTTGTTTGCTCCTCCTCCTCTTCCTTTCTCTCTTGCCAGCTCCCTCACTTTCCGACCCACGAGCCCAGAAGGTGGCTCTCCTATGCACCAACCGAACCGTCTCCTCCCTCACGCGCCGCCAGGTTTTCGTGGCCAACTTCCTGGCCGCCATGGACGCCTTGACCCCCCTGACGCGGGCGCAGGGCCACGGCGGCGTCGTCAAGGGCTCCCAAAACGCCAGCGTTTACGCCCTGGGCGAGTGCATGAAGGACCTCTCCCCCTCCGACTGCGACGTCTGCCTGGCGCAGTGCAAGACGCAGCTGCTCTCCTGCCTCCCCTTCCAGAAAGGGACACGTGGCGGCTCCCTCTTCTTCGACGGCTGCTTCCTCCGGTACGACGACTACGACTTCTTCAACGAGACCCTCGGCGACCAGGACTCCGCGGTGTGCGGAACTAATGGTACTGTTGGTGGTGGCGTTTATAAGGCCAACGCTTTGGAGTTGGTTCGGAACCTGAGCGAGGTGGCGCCCCGAAACGATGGGTTTGTGGTGGGGTCGGTGGAGAGAAGGAACGTGAGTGTTTATGGGTTGGCTCAGTGCTGGGAGTTTGTGAATGGGAGTGCGTGCCGGAGATGTTTGGCTCATGCTGTTTCTCGGATTGCTTCCTGTGAAACGCAGGAAGCCAGGGCGTTGAATGCTGGTTGTTACTTGAGGTTTTCTGCGCGCAAGTTCTTCAACAATTCAACCGATCTTACAACACCTGCACATCATGGTCAGTTATCATCTCTCTTTTCACACCTGCTTCATGTCTTGCTTTTTAATTAGCTTCATTATGAGACTCTGGTATATAAGCAGAGACGATCCTTAATCCTTATCCTAGAAAGTAGAAATCCATTTTGTTAGGTTGAGTTTGATTCAAATTCTATCCTAAGATGATATCAAAGTCTATCTTTATTCATTAAAATGGTCGGTCATCATTTATTTATACACCAATTCCAATAGTGTTGAGAGTGTGTGTTTATTGGATAAACGTAAGAGGTAAAGACAAAATGGAGTATTAAGTGGGGTAACCCTCAAAGATATTTCATATGTAGAAAATTGTGGACAAATGTGGTTGATGAGATCACAATTGTGGCTGGAGAGACCCAAAAGCCCTGATATTGCAGACGAGCTATCGAATGAAATGAAGGCATCTAACTATACTGCTAGTTGGGAACTGGGAACTGAAAAGACTGCCAGGAATGAGGAATAGTTGTAGCCATTCAATAAGATGAAGATGAACGTGGTGAGGTTGAGCCTGCCCATTGATCAAAAGAGTGGCCCTTGTTGTGTGTGTTTGTTATGGAATTTAACGTTCTTGTTAATTTGAAATAGGCATTGTGAAAAGTATAAAATAAACGGGAAGATCACCTTTTCTGATAAAACGTCACTTAAGCTGTGTTGCTGTGTATGTTATGTTAGGAAGACGAAGTCTAGCAAAAATTTTGGCTGCATCTTCTGCGGCCCTGGCTCTTCTGCTGGTTGTTGCAGCAGTTGTTTTCTTTGTAAGGAAGAATGTGGTGACAAGAAGAAGAGGTATTGATATTTTATACTTACAACTGACAATGTTAAAATTGTAAATACTAAGATTGTTGAGTTGTTGTTCTTAATTCAGAAAGAAGACAGTTGGGTGCACTTCTGGACACAGTGAATAAGTCCAAGTTGAATGTGCCATATGAGATTCTCGAAAAGGCAACAAATTACTTCAATGATGCCAACAAGCTAGGACAAGGGGGATCAGGTTCTGTTTATAAAGTAAGTATTTTCTGATTTTATGTGCTATTATCTTTTTGGACGACCTAATTGTTTTCTTACATTTTTCCTGACCGTAATTTTTGTTCTAAAATAGGGAGTTATGCCAGATGGAATTACTGTTGCCATAAAAAGGCTTAGCTTTAACACTACACAATGGGCAGATCATTTCTTTAATGAGGTCAATTTGATCAGTGGTATTCATCACAAAAATCTAGTAAAGCTTTTAGGGTGCAGCATTACAGGACCTGAAAGCCTTTTAGTTTATGAATACGTGCCTAACTACAGCCTCCATGATCACCTTTCGGGTTGTAACTTTATATCTGATATCCAGTCTTAAAGAGATTTCCTTGAAATTAACTTTTGCTTATTATGTTTTCTATGAACTTCTCTAGGTAGAAGGATTTCTCAACCGCTGAATTGGGAAATCAGGCATAAGATTATATTAGGAATTGCAGAGGGCATGGTCTACCTTCACGAGGAATCACATGTGAGAATCATTCATAGAGACATAAAATTAAGCAACATTCTGCTTGAGGAGGACTTCACACCCAAGATTGCTGATTTTGGACTTGCTAGATTGTTTCCAGAAGACAAGTCTCACATTAGCACAGCCATTGCTGGCACACTGTAAGTGCATGGACCCTCTTCTGTATCTCATATTTTTGCCGACATTAATGCTATTCTGTATGTGCCGTCAGGGAAACATGTTGCATGGGCCTTAGAATCTTAGATGACTGGAGGGTGAATTTTTTGTAATAAAAAATCAAAATACTGGCTGCCTTCTGTTAATTGCTGTTTTAGAACTTTGTGAAAGACCATCTGGTTACTATGTTTGGTAAACAACACTTGTGTTGGTTACACTCTAATAGATATTTTAATCTCTTCTGCATTATGTTATGATTGTTGGGAAATCCCACATCCTCTCTCAATTCTCTAGGTGCGATTTATATATCTATTTGGTCACTTCACTTGATGCCAATTGGTTTTAGGATAGATTCTAACTAACATGATATAGGTTAGATTCCATCTTCCTGATTCTCTGCCAATTGGTTTAAGATGGATTTTAACAATGATAATTCCTTTATCTAAATGATTGTTTCTTTCCATAAGCATTCTTAATATGTATTCTTTGCATCACTGTTATCAGTGTTATGTGGTGTGTATTGGCAATCATGTTTTATGGTCCAATTATTCATGATTAATGAGCACTTCTATATCTTCTGTTAAAAAATACAATAAAAATGAAACCTTCTATTGATTTCTTGATCCTACGAATTTGAAATATAGTTCATTAATGACTCATGTGCGATTCTCTTACATCTTATTATGTTGTTCATAACTAGGGGCTATATGGCTCCGGAGTATATTGTTCGTGGGAAGTTGACTGAGAAAGCAGATGTCTACAGTTTTGGAGTTCTAGTTATTGAAATTGTATCAGGCAAAAGAAACAGTTCCTTTGTTATGAATTCATCCTCTCTCCTACAAATGGTAATTGTTTTTTTGTCAGGATTGTTGCTACTAATACCAATTCATTTGATGCTTAAACAAAACTAGCATTCTCATAATTCTAAGAACTTACCCCAGTTAAAGATCATTTTTCTGCTCTCCTTTTATACAAGGTTTGGAGCCACTACGGGTCAAATAGGCTATCTGAAGTTGTTGATCCGACCCTAGAGGGTGCCTTTCCTGTAGAGGAAGCATGCCAACTGCTTCAGATAGGGTTGCTTTGTGCACAAGCATCTGCAGAGTTGAGACCATCAATGTCAGTAGTTGTTAAAATGGTTAATAACAGCCATGAAATTCCTCAGCCAACACAACCACCATTTATTAATTCTGGTAGTGTGGAATTCAACAAATCTGGTTTACCTGGATATAAATTTCAGTCTGGATCCAACACTCAGTCTTCAGGGAACACCATGACTGAAAGTCAGATTGAGCCTAGATGAATTACATCACACCCTTTTTCCTGGATCATTTTTGTGCACATAAAATTATCCCCGAGTACGCGTTAAAGCTGTTGGCTTTGTTTCATTCTCAAGAAAATATGGTTTCAGTTATCAGCACGGAATTGCCCTCGTACATCTCTGAATTGAAAGAGATGAGTGGCATAACTCCACATATGAACCATCGGCCAACAGTTAGGACCGATTGCTTTGTATAGATTACAGTTACACAAAAAGCTGCAAGGAAAAAAAAGGATGAGTTTTTCTGAAGAACTTGTAAATTACATATCACACAGGTCAACTTTTTCTACAATAGAATCAATAGTAGGCTGATCTGATCTATGCAAAATTTATGCTATATGCTTTTATATTTGAGTTCTCTACCAAGTTATGTATGGAAGCCTTGTAACACTTGATTGGAGTTTTGTACCAGGCACCTAGAATGCAAGGTACAGGGATATTCTGAGAATTTTACATGTAACCACCAGTAATTATTTATTTACATTTTATTCTTTTATGTAATAGTAATTTATTTGAAGTTAGTTGTATTATTGCTTTATTGTTCTTTACTTTTTAGTCTACGGAAAACTCTCGAACTCCTTCCTCCTCAATGGTTGCCGCTGTAGACAATTGTAAAATTTGCTGCAAAAATAAGGAAAAATAATAATAATAATAATTAATTTCACACATATTAAGAAAATTGGTTATTAATATTAAATTTTACTAATCCTATAATATACTTCCTAATTCTTATTATAAATGTAAAAAAAAAATAAAAAATAAGAGTATCATTAAATGAGATAAAAATACCTAAAATGTGGCTATATTTAAAAATATTTTTTTTATAATAGAGAGCAAAGAGAGTACAACTATTGGTTTCATTAATAAAAACTCCTTTAATTTTATTACTAATGTCTTTGACACTTGAAACTACTACGGTTGGCAAGTTATGATAGTATGAACAAGATTTTTAGATTTGAGTCTTTGTATTATTTTTGTAATCTTGATAAATAAAAAATATAAAAAGCTTCCCCTAATAATAGCATAGTTTATATTTTTTTTTTTGGGGGGGGGGGGGAGGGTGTTATTTACGATTGATAAACGTTGAAAGTCAAAGGTTAGTGGGGTTGGATTATGAAGATAAATTAACAATATCAACATCAAGCAGATTTGGATTTGACAAATAATGTTTCTTTCTAGAGTTTATCCCCTACTAGGTTGACCTTATACTCTAATGAATTAAAGGACTGAGATCATGACTGTTAAAAGGTCATTTAACATTGTTGTAAAAAAAAAGGTCATTTAATATAAATTAAAGTATAATACATTTTATATTAAATAGTATAACTTTAAAATTAAAAGAAAAGTAATGTAATTTTAAACATGTTTAAGAGAGAAACTATAACTTATCCTACAATCAAATTCAAATTTAATTAAAAAATCACAATATATGATGGTTATTAAAAAAAATAATTTTTAATTTAAAAAATAACAGTATAACTATTATTCATGAGTTGACACTCATGTACTCATAGTAAAAGTTGACTCCAGTTTCTTATAGGAGGTAATCCTTGAAAAATAATTTTAGTGATAATTTTGTTTCATTCAGACA